TCTTCCTCATGCACCTGGATGAGTCAAAAAATCTCTAGGAAGAAAAAATTACAGTCATTACAAAATCACTAACATTTTATCTGGTGCACAGGGTGTGATGATGACACACAGGAATGTTCTAGCTACAGCTTCTGCTGTTCTGACAATTGTACCCGGTCTTGGAAGTAAGGATGTTTACTTAGCATACCTGCCGCTTGCTCATATTCTCGAGCTTGCAGCAGAGGTAATGTACCAATTTTGACCAAATTTGTTGGGTGTATGATTTATTCATGTCTTTACTTTCTTTCTGTTAAGTTAAAAATCTGATATTTTCTGCAGACCATAGTACCTGGGATTGGTGGTTCTATAGGATATGGTTCTCCTCTGACCCTTACTGATACTTCAAATAAGATAAAGAAAGGAACAAAAGGAGATGCCTCTGCGTTAAGCCCAACTGTGATGGCAGCTGTCCCTGCCATTCTTGATCGGGTTCGAGATGGCGTGCGTAAAAAGGTATAACTGAGGACTCAAAATATATATTTTCTTAGTTGCTTCTGCATACATAGTACATGTTGTTGGTACGTAAAACTAACATTGGTAAAACTCAGGTAGATGCTGCAGGCGGATTATCCAAAAAATTGTTTGATTTGGCATATTCTCGTAGACTGTCTGCAATTAATGGTAATTGGCTTGGAGCTTGGGGCTTAGAAAGACATTTCTGGAACCTTTTAGTGTTTAAGAAGGTTCAAGCAATTCTTGGCGGCCGTATCCGTTTTATCCTGTCAGGAGGAGCTCCTCTCTCAGGTGATACTCAGAGATTTATCAACATATGCCTTGGGTGAGTAACTCTGAAATTATTCCCCCATTTCTGATTGTGGTAATTTTGACCTCTCACCCCAAAAGATGGTGATCTAAGGGATTCACTAGTTTAATATCACATGAAACTAATATATAAAGTTCGAATTGACCTCTTAGCATGATCCATAAGCCATTGAGTTGATGGTCTAAAGTGTTTTGTTGATATACACAATGTATAATGAGTTACCCACTTCTGGAGATAAGATTGCAGCAAGAGTAACCTTCTCAACTTCAATACCACCTGCTTCTTATAGTCTCCAGGTTGATCTGGCTGCACATAGTATCTCTTTCAACAATCTAATGCATACATGAAATCTCACCACTTTGCACTTTTTTACCAACTGTCTATAAACAACGTACTAAAGAGTTGGGTAGTTATTGTGGTGGAATTGGGAACTCTTGTTGCTGTCTTGCCGATGAGAGGTGTATTCCTCTCCTTAGGTTGTAGTTGTCACTAACTGTCCTAATATAAAGTGTCCAAAGAACACTTGTTGATGTTCCTCAGGGGTTTGTTCTACCCCTTAAGTTCTCTTTGCCATTGTTTCTGAAATAATGTCCAATTTATAAAAACTTCAACGTAACGATTGTTCATGTTTGCCTATCTGCTGTTCTAATGATGTAAATCTAGAAGCTGATGACTTGAAAATATATATCTGCCTTACCTGTTTGCTGGATTGTAGGAAGAGAATCCGGAGAAAACCTAACCTTTAGACTTTTAGAGTGGCCATTTATTTTCTTGTGTTCACCCTTTGTTCTAATTAATAACTAGCATCGTGAATTACTTGAATGATGAAATTCAATGGTAATTAACAAAAAGCGTGATGCTTTAATAAAGGAATCCACTTCCATCAAAATAGACATGTTCTGGTGTGGGTTAAATTGATACTTAACTAAATTATTGTCAACAATAACAGTGGCAAATAATATGCAGCTTTACATTGTTTTCTCTTCTTGCTAGCATCTTTTTTATTTCTGCAGACTTCTCATCTTACTTGGTTTATTTTCCTTAGTGCTCCAATAGGCCAAGGTTATGGTCTTACCGAGACCTGTGCTGGTGGAACATTTAGTGATTATGATGATACTTCTGTTGGACGTGTTGGTCCTCCACTTCCTTGCTCGTACATCAAGGTAAAGAAGAATAAGCAGAGTCAAAGCTTAACATTCCTCTATATCCGTGTATACTGCTATAGTTATTACTTCATTTGTCTAACCAATTATGAGAATTACCCCATTTTCAGGTCAAGAATTATGCATTTCAAACTTTAAGAAAGCATTGTAGTAATCTTATTACTTACATCTCTCACATTTATTTGTTAAATCTTGTGGTTTGCATTTTATCTTTTATGTAATGCTCTTGTTCCTGTGCCTATCCTTATATGGTTTAAGTTTCAGATGGTTCCATTGTAAGTTGACAGAGTAGTAGATAATTATGCAACTAGGAAAAAATTACCCCATTTTCAGGTCAAGAATTATGCATTTCAAACTTTAAGAAAGCATTGTAGTAATCTTATTACTTACATCTCTCACATTTATTTGTTAAATCTTGTGGTTTGTCTATTTTATCTTTTATGTAATGCTCTTGTTCCTGTGCCTATCCTTATATGGTTTAAGTTTCAGATGGTTCCATTGTAAGTTGACAGAGTAGTAGATAATTATGCAACTAGGAAAAATTACCCCATTTTCAGGTCAAGAATTATGCATTTCAAACTTTCAGAGAGCATTGTAGTAATCTTGTTACGTTCATTTCTCACATTTATTTGTTAAATCCTGTTGTTTTCTTTTCATCTTTTATGTAATGCTCTTGTTCTTGTGCCCATCTTTATATGGTTTAAGTTTGAGATGGTTCTATTGTAAGTTGATAGAGTACTTGACCATGATCCATCACAACATCTATCACAATGTTTGTACTTCAAGGGTGTGTTTGGTACGAAGGAAAATGTTTTCTTGAAAAATGTTCTCCGGGAAAATAAGTGGTTTCTTACTTATTCTCTTGTGTTCGGTATGTAACAAAAAGATAATTATCCTAAAAGCATTTGTCTATAATCTACACAAATACTATGAGGGGTGGGTAGTTTTGGGGATGGGGGCTACATGGGTGGGGGTGAAAATGAGGTGTGTCACAATCAATGTGGAATGCCACTGGTGGAGCTTGTTTTCCTACTTCCACTTGGGAAGTCATTTTCCTCATTTTTAAGGTACTTGTTTTTCCTAGAGAAGATGTTCTCCAAAACTTTGACCAACCGAACATGAGAAAATTGGAAAATATTTTCCTCCATACCGAACACACCCCAAATATCTGTTCCCCCCTCATTACATTATAATCATCTTGCTTTCCAAACTTTTTTTGTTGTTCAAGTCATGAGAAACTGTAACAGCTCTATAATTGCTTCTGAATCATTTTTTTTTAGGTTTCACCAGATAATACTCTTAATTAATGTAGTACTTTCATCTGTAGTTGATAGATTGGGCTGAGGGTGGATATCTAACAAGTGATTCCCCAATGCCTCGAGGTGAAATTGTTATTGGTGGACCAAATGTTACCGTTGGATATTTTAAAAATGAGGAGAAGACGAAAGAAGTGTACAAGGTACTTATTGCTCTAAAATTGTATGCTCCGATGAGTATTTATGTTACAAATGTGACTGGTCGATAAATTACAATTTTTTTGCTGTACTAAGGTTGACGAGAGAGGAATGAGGTGGTTCTACACAGGTGACGTAGGGCAATTTCATGCAGATGGTTGCCTTGAGATAATTGACCGTAAAAAGGACATTGTTAAACTTCAACACGGGGAATATGTTTCCTTGGGGAAGGTGTGATCTAGTATTTTATATGGTATCTTTATTCTAGCATATGAATTATATGCACATTGTTAGATGAATTTGTCCTGGTTTCACTACCGCAACTCCCCACTTTTCTTTTCATCATTTGCTCATGTGGGAGTTGATATGTCATGTGCAGGTTGAGGCTGTTCTTATCGTCAGTCCCTATGTTGACAATATAATGTTACATGCCGATCCTTTCCATAGTTATTGTGTAGCTATAGTGGTGGCCGCTCAAGCTGCTGTGGAAGACTGGGCTAGGAAGCACGGAATTAACTTTGTCGATTTTCAAGAGTTATGTCAGAAGGAAGAAACTATCAAGGAGGTGTATGCTTCCTTAGTGAAGGTATTTCTCATACATGCAAAGTTATTGAGCTTCTTTCTGTTTTCAGTTATCATAAGCAAAGATGTATTTTCCTAATCCTGCTAACCTTCACATTTGTTGGATTAACTGGTTTTGGCATGTTTTAACATTTTTTCTCCATATTTCCGGAGTTAAATCCTTTGTTGTGTAGACTGCAGTTTGGTGAATATTATGGTTTCTCTAATTCATTGAACATGTGTCTTGTACAGGCAGCGAAGGGTGCTCGTTTGGAGAAGTTTGAGATCCCAGCGAAGATCAAGTTGTTATCGGAAGCATGGACACCAGAATCTGGGCTTGTGACTGCAGCCTTGAAGCTGAAGAGGGATGTCATTAAGAAGGCCTTCTCACAGGAACTAGCTCAGTTATATTCATCATGATTGATTGATTTTACAGAGATAGCAGCTCTTTTCTTTTAACTAGACCCCCACCCCCAAGTTTCTTCAATAAATATTTGTAAAACTATAGCCTTTTTGATATGCGTTTATTTTTGTTTCAAGTAATCCTTTTGAGCAAAAAAGGTGAAGGTTGTTTTTAGTCCATCGCACAATCTGGGAAGATACAACTATAGCATGACAAATGAATTCCAATTTGAGGTGAAGATCACACCCAAGTTGTCAAGTCAACGAAAAGTATCAAAATGACACAATTCAATCTTACTTTAGGTATTCAAAATATACAAGACTTATCATATTTCTCAAGTGAAAAGAATTGCCAACTTTAGAAAATTACCCATGAATTCCTCCAATTTTTATTTTTAATCTGAAATTAGTTGAGTCGGATTGTTGAATGGTTGAGTAAGCAAATATGAATTAATGGGATGATTAAACAAAAAAACTGACCATTTCTTATGTCACATTTTGGCAAAATGCCAAAACCGAACTGGTAAAGCAGGCATGCAACCAACGCGTGGCAAAGTCCTCCAGCTGTAGCCTGCAGCAGAGACACCATTGTTTTTCTTTTCTGTTAAATATAAAAGTTTCAAGTGCCTCACTTTGCTAAGATTAATTATAACCTTGTTAATTATTATCAAGAACATCAAAGTGATGCAGAAAATCCAAATCATTTTCTTGGTTTTCTTTTTTGTTGCAGCAATGACAGATTCTGAACCACCATCCACAGAAGCAAAAGTGTATATTGTTCATACTGAAAATCCTCAAGATCAAGACCCTGAGGAGTTTCATATCAAGACCTTAGCTTCTGTTCTTGGCAGGTTTTTGTTTTGTGTCATTTTCTTGCTTGTATAGATTTTGATTCTTACTAATTTAATGTTTGGACTTGTCTTTCTTCTTGTAATTTCATTTGCATAAACCTTTTTGGGCATAGACAGACATATTCCCCATTCTTGTTAATTTGGCATGTTGTAAGTGGTAGAAAAGAAAGTGGATACACACTTATTCTTGTTAATTCTGTTAAATATTGCATTCTGATGCTTCAATTCTTGATATCTTTTAAGGTGGGGGAGAAGATAGTTTTTTTTTATGTTTATTTGAGAATTTTGAATGAAGGATTATCAAAACTTAGTTTTTGAACCAGCATTGGATTTGTTCATCCACATTGATAAAGGAAATGCTAAGATACTTTGAATGTTAGTATTTGCTTAATAACAGAAATTCATTTAGTATGACTAGCTAAGCAAGTCAATTCTGGGAATGCTGTTCCAAATATTGGCTCAATTCTACCTCCCACATCCAATTCTTCCTTCATTTACAGCTTTGGAATTCTACGGCCAAAATCACATATATTTGTGTCTGTTAACGAGTCGTTTGGTATGAGGTATAACCGTATAAGGTATAATAATCCCAAGTCGTTTGGTGTGAGGTATAAGGTATAATAATTCCAGGTATAAATCCCAAGTCTATTTTATCATGCGTTTGGTTGGAGGTATTAGGCAGTCTTGGATTATTTATCCCACCATTTATACCTTAGTGATGACTTGTCTCGGGATAACTAATCCTGAGATAACTTGTTCCCAACCAAATGACCCTTAATATAATGACCTTCTAATGTTGACTTTTGATTAGTTAGGCTGTACAGTATGATACCTTTTGAAAACTAATATACTATAGTAATATAAAAAATCCTCTATATAGATAGATATATTCTTTCCTGTAGAGGTTCCCTTCGGAAACAGCTTCAATACCCTCCCCGACTCCACTTTGTGGGATTTCACTAGCTATGTTGTTGTTGTAAAACAGTACGAGACCGTTGATAACAAATATATTAGTACCATCAAAATTCCTGTAACTAGATACACGTATATTTTCCTGTAAAGACTAAAATCAATGCTCAACTTTACCAAAACTTTAAGTGAGAACAGGATAAAAGTAAATCCTAATTATGCATGCTTGGTTAAAGGACTCTGATCAGCTGATAAGTTGTTGAGTTTCCAGATCCCTTTTTTTTTATAGTACAGGTGCATTTCTATTATTCGGTATACGTAAGATTGAAAGATTTAAGATTGAAGTATTTACTGACTGATCTTTGTGTAAAAAAGTGAGGATGCTGCAAAGGAGGCTTTGATTTACAGTTACAAGCATGCGGCTAGTGGGTTCGCTGCCAAGCTGACTCCTGAGCAGGTTTCTGAGCTTGCAAGTAAGTTTTATTGATTCAGTTGAACCCCCTTGCACTCTCGTAGTTCCACCCCTGACTGAACACCACATAATTCAATGATTTGTTTTGGAATGAATAAGAAGTGATGAGTTCACGAACTTGTGATAGACCCTAGACCCCCTCTTCTCTGTATCTTTTTAGATCTTATAAAAATAAAATGATCAAACTTATACTCTTATATTTCCTATCAAAATGCTTAATGCCTACGTATTTTGATAACATGTGGTTATTCAGTTCCTTCATGATGATTATTACATGTAGTTGTAATGAGAGTTGAGAAGGATTTTTAAGAATCTTCCATTTGTTTATTCGGTTTGAGAAACCTTATAACTGGTTTCGGAGACAGTATGCATATCCAGATTTTCTTTTTTTCCTGACTGTGAATATGAACTTGTTCGAAATTTAGTCATTGGTGGCTTGGAGGACATTCATCTTCCTATCATAGCACAATACAGCAGCATATAGTATGGCTTTATAGCTGAACTAAGTTGTCATTTTTTCCTTTGGCAGAAAAACCTGGGGTCTTGCAAATTGTCCCAAGCAAAACCCTCCATTTACATGGACCGGAGCGTATGTGAAAACCAACTCTTGCGACTCCATCACAAAACCAATCTACCTTGATATGTGTGTGTATACGTTTGTGATCTATGTTTTAACAGTCGGAAAACTTGGTGATGTGAATCGTGCTTAAATAAATGAAAGTAGAATGTGTTTAACATGTGATACGAAACATAATACATAGACTGTGTCTTTTAAACTTGACCTTCTGACATCTATGCCCTCCAACTTTGGATAGTAGACACTTAAACTTAGAACAAATAGACGCACATATTCTACTCAGAAAGTACATAGAGAAATGTATGACTAACTACCTCTATTCTTTTCTTCAGTCATTGTATATAAAACTCATTTGACTAAAAGCTGAAGTGTAACCCCCATCAATAACTAGATTATGTCCAGTTACAAAACCAGATTCATCACTAGCTAGAAACAACACAGCTTGTGCTACATCTTCTAATCTTCCACCTCTCCCACGTAGAAGACTTCCTCTTTCCCCTACAATTGAACCCACTTCATTAGGCCTCAGTTCTGTATTACCAAGAAACTTTTGAAACTCACTCACAAGCATCTCAGAAGGAACACCATGAGGTGAAATACAGTTAACTCGAATACCGTGAACCCCTAACTCACAAGCTGTGCTTCTTGCAAGTCCTAAGATTGCCTCTTTAGACATTGTGTAGGAATGAGATGCCAATCCTCCCATTATAGCAGCAGAACTTGATGAACATATGATCGTGCCCCCGCGCTTGCCTGCACAAACAACATATACTCTCTCAGTTTCAATTTGTTTGTCTGATTTTGACTTGACACAGAGTTATGTGTCAATTGAGCTGAATGGGACGAGTTAAAAAGTAGAGAGGTTATTGATTCGTTCAAAAGTTACTTGCCTGCTATCATTGTCCGTGCAGCATGTTTGATACCATGTACAACTCCATGAAGATTTATAGCAAGGAGTGTCATCATCTGATCCATTTTGATGTTTGTAATGCTTCCTCCAAAGCCTGCAATTCCAGCATTGTTGAACATGATGTCTAATCTTCCTTTCCATTCTACTGCAACTTTCACAGCTGATTCAACTTCTTCTTCTTTCGAAACATCGCATCGCACGTACCGACCTCCAATAGATTCAGCTAAACTTGTACCTACTTCATTCAGTATATCTGCAATCACAACATGAGCTCCATTTTCAGCAAAAACTCTTGCTGTTGCTGCTCCTATTCCTCTTGCACCGCCCGTTATAACTGCAACTTTTCCCCTCAACCTGACACAATCCGAAGAGTTTAAGTTCTATACACTGACAGATGATTAGTAATATAATTTAAATTCAATGAAATGCCAATAAGTATATGTTCAAAGTTTGTATTCAATATCAAAATACTAACCTTTGGGGGGACAATATTTGTACTAAAGTATCCTTTGTTTCACTATTATTGTGATCCATTTTAATCCAAGTACAAGATAACAACAATTGAAATTTAACAAAATGATCAAAGATATTAACTATGTATAAATAGTAAATAATTCCAGTGAAGAGAATGTGACCAAGTATATTAATAGCAAAGGAAAAATAGGTTTGTCATATATTTTTTGTTTTACAACTATATCCTACCAGAAATATTTTTTGTTATACATAAGGGGGAAAAAATGCATTTCATGCCTGGATTTTCCATTATCAAAATATTAGTTTTAAGGGGACATTAATTATTTTTTAAATCTGATGATAATCTTTAATTTATAAGAACTTTCAAGTTTAACATTTTGAAATTTAACAGAATGATCAATATGAAATCTGAATAGTGATATGTTCCATTTTAACTTCAGAAATTACTAATATCAGCTGTATGCGTTTGGTTGATTCAATACGGTTCACTTTTAGTTAGGGGTTTATATGACCGGTTTGATTCGGATTTTTCAAATATCAAATTAAATTATTTGTGTCAAATTTATAAACCAAACCAAATTAATAAAACTCGGCCTTTTTTGGGTTTTTCAACCTCAGGTTTTTTCGGGTTGGTTCTGGTTTTTCAAATGCCAAACCAAACCATTTGTGTCAAATTTTTAAATTTTTAAATCAAACCAAACTAATAAACCTCGGATTTTTTTTGGGTTTTTGGACTTTTCTGGTAAAGTATTCATACAAACATATAATTAACTTGTGCTCCAAATATTTCTTTAGTCCAACCAAAATACAACTATCTAAGGTGTTTCTAAAGAAAATAACACAAAATATAAGATGAGTGATGACACTGAAATATTCAATAAAAAATAATAATGAAATCGTTATAAAACAAATATTGCAAATTGATAAGTCATAATGAAAATGATCATAATTTAAAAGTACTAAATCATACTAAAATAAGTCTAATAAGTATTAATTACATGATTAAACACTAAGGAAAAAATTAAAATTAGATTATGTATGTTAAATGTCTAAACCAATGTAAAACTAAAGAACAAATATTCAACATTATTGTCATTCTTAGTGTAGAATTAATTTATTTTGTTAGCATTAGAATTGATTTGATTTTGAATTGAGTTTTATTAGAGTTACTAATATTTATGGACTATACCTTTATTGGACCATTCAAAATTTTAAGTCTAAAAAGTCTTGAAAAAATATGTTAAAAGATAAAAATTATGAAAATGTATAAGGAATATTTAGAAATTACATCAAAGTAAATACTTTTATATAAAATAAATTTTAAAAATTATATATATAATGTCGGTTGGTTTAGTCTCAGGTTGACCTTTTTTAGTTACAACCAAACCAACCCAAGTATAGTCGGGTTTTTTTTTCTCAAACCAAACCAAGTTAAACAAAATCATTAGTTGGATTTTTTTTCGGTTTGACTCGATTTTCGGTTCGATTTTATACACCTCTACTTTTACTTGTCACTTATTCTTTAAATAAATTTTCAATTTTACTTGTCATTTTGACATATCAAGAAAATACAATTTATTTTTTCATATTTTACCATCAACATTAAATACTTATTCTTCAAATCATTTTCCAAGACTTAATACTAAACATTATTTAATAGAAATAGTTTGATAAAATACATATATCAATAATTATTTTCTTAATGATTATGCCAAATCAAACAATGACGAGTAAAATTGGACAGAGGAAATATAAGTTTTATCATTCCTATAAAAAAAAAGATAAATAGAAGAAAAATTCAGAGAATATCTTTCCACTTAATTATGTCAAGTATACGTTATCGTGGTATTCACTACCAAAAGTATACAGCTGCATATGAGTTCTCCTTTAGTTTTCCACCAAAAAGGTTGACAAAAACTGAAAATGCCCCACTTTAAAATATTCTAAGGACTATAAATGCATCATTTAATATTAATATAATACATACACTTAAATTTGGTATAATACATAAACATGACTCTTAACTTGACTTCAACAGATAACTATGTCCTTCAATTTTGAGTGTGCATAAGTAGACACTTAAACTTACATAAAATTGAATAAGTAGACACACGTGTCCTACATGACATAATACACATAGGATGTCACGTAGGACACAAAATTGTCATGTAGGACGAATGTGTCTATTTGTTCAATTTTATACAAATTTAAATGTCTACTTGTGTACACTCAAAGTTAAAGATAATAGTTATAAGTTGAGGCCAACTTAAAAGTCATATTGATGTATTATGCCCTTAATTTGTATAAAGTTGAACAAATATATACATGCATGATGCATCCCATGTGATTACATGTATTATGTCATTTACACATGACATATGTATCTACGTATTCAATTTCATACAATTTTAAATGTTTATTTATACACAACATAAATATCAATTGATGATAAAGTTAAAAGGAAACACATATTATTTCTTTTAAGGGAAAAAAGTTAAAATATGTTATCTAACTTTGAAAAAAGACTTATTTATGTTACCCATTAAAAGTTTGGTTCATCTATGCTATTTTCATTTGACAAAAGATTCATTCACACAATTATTTGTTAACTGAAAACAATTTCAATTTTGCATAACCATTTTTTCAGCCACGTCATTAATTAAATCATATTTTTATATTGAACTTTGAGAAAAAAAACTTATTTATGTCATCGATTAAAAGTTTGACTCATCTGATGAACAAAACTCTTAACGAATGACATAGATGTGCCTTCTCTCGAAATTCAATGACGAAATCTTTCACTTTCTTTAATATTCATGAAAAACATTGATCCAAAATAGAAAGTTAAGGATGAGTTGGACATTTTCTTTTAAATAATGCAACGTGACTCCCTTCATTTTCCCCAAACGCAAGTCCAAGTCAACTTGAGACACCATATTCCCCGCCAGATAACCATGAAACAAAAATCAACAAACACAAATTCATAAATTTTCCTCAAAATCAATAAACAACATCTCTATTTTTCTCAAAAACAAGAAACAAAAAATCAAAGATTAGACAATAGAAGAATACATTATCAAGAAAAAAAAGGAATCTTGATTTCAAGAATAGCAAAAATGGAGATCCCTAAATCTGAAAATAGCAAACCCCCAACAGTTTCATCATCAACAAAATCATGTATGAATGTTCTTCCTTATCAAACCCCAAGAATAGGTGAGCACTATACTCTTGGGAAGAAACTAGGGCAAGGTCAATTTGGTACAACTTATTTATGCACAGAGAATGCAACAGGTCATGAATATGCCTGCAAAACAATCCCAAAAAGGAAGCTTTTTTGTAAGGAAGATTATGAGGATGTGTGGAGAGAGATTCAGATAATGCATCATTTGTCTGAACACCCTTATGTTGTTAGGATTAAAGGGACTTATGAGGATAATCTTTTTGTACATATTGTTATGGAGGTTTGTAAAGGGGGTGAGCTTTTTGATAGGATTGTTCAAAAGGGGCATTTTACTGAGAAGAAAGCTGCACAATTGATGAAAACTATTGTCAAAGTTGTGGAGGCTTGTCATTCTCTTGGGGTTATGCATAGAGATCTCAAACCTGAGAATTTCCTTTTTGATAGCTCTGATGAAGATGCTAAGCTTAAGG